GCGCCTGGCCTCACGCTATTTGCATCGATAGGATGAGCAAAATCGAATTGCCTGTTGGCCGGTGTGTTGCTCATTCTATCGATGGAAAACTCTCTCTCTCTCTCTCTCTCTCTCTCTCTCTCTCTCTCTCTCTCTCTCTCGGCTAGCCACGTGGCGGGCCATTTCTCTTTTGTTTTTTTCATAGGAGATGGCTATGGCGGGATCTTTGTCACGTTGTTTGGGGGAGGAGGAGCGGGAGGAGCGGGAGGAGGGTCGGGAAAAGGAGTGGGAGGAGGAGCGGGAGCAGGTGCGGGAGAAGGAGCGAGAGGGGAATTGCGAAGGGGCGGAGGAGCCGTGGGAGGAGGAGCTGCACGAGGAGAAACGGGAAGGGACGGAAGCGGCGCGGAAGGAGGGGCGGTAAAGAAGCGGGAGGAGGAGCGGGAGGGGAAACGGGGAGGGGGGAGAGAGAGAGAGAGAGAGAGAGAGAGAGAGACACTCTCTCTCTCTCACGCACACACACACACACACACAACCTCCTGATCACTCGGAAACAGTCTGCCACAGTCGTGTTTTTTTTTAGTGTATAGCGAATATGACGACAAAAAAAAAAAAAAAAAAAAAAAAGCCCCAGCAGTGTAACAACAACAGCCCCGCCCCCCTGTTCGTCCCTCTCCTCTGCCGCAGCGTGGCTGCGGCGCGTCCACTTGTAACTCAAAAGTTCGAACTTTGCAGTTCAATTCAGAACGTCAGAGTCTTCACACTGGCAGCACTGTCACTCTCTCCCATCGCCCATCTCTCTCTCTCTCTCTCTCTCTCTCTCTCTCTCTCTCTCTCTCTCTCTCTCTCTCTCTTTCTCTCTCTTTTTCTCTCTCTCTCTCTCTCTCTCTCTCTCTCTCTCTTTCTCTCTCCCCTCTCTTTTCTCCCACTCTCGAGCACTTGGTATGATTTTCATTTCGTTGTGACATTGCTTTTGCTGGCGGCAGTTGCTTTCGTTGAAATTCACACTTCCTCTCACGGAGTAACCGTCGCAGAGGTTATACTACGTCACGAGTGGCTTCGTACTTTGTTGGTGTAGCTTACAACGATGGCTTCCGCTCCTAGTGTACGCACTTGTTACAANTCTCTCTCTTTCTCTCTCTTTTTCTCTCTCTCTCTCTCTCTCCCTCTCTCTCTCTCTCTCTCCCTCTCCCCCCAACGGGCAGCAGCGGCGGGCGCCACGTCGAAACGGCCGCTTTGAAATTGCTCGGGCCTGTGCGAAACACGCCTCCTCAAAAACGTGCAGTGTCTTGTGTCCGGACCTCTAGGCCCTGTCCGGTGGGGTGAAACGACACTAAAAAATCACCCCGTTATTTTTCGAGGGGCGGCCAGGACCTGATAAACGTCCTGGACCGCCCCGTTTTTTTTTTTTTTTTCGCCCCAGGGGCCTCCATCTGGACATGAGGATCGGACACCAGACACCGGACTGCCTGGAACCCGGTCCTGATGTCCGGACGGTTACCATGGTCGTGGGGGACTTCGAACTTTACCATGTCCAGCTATGTCAGGATCGAAAGCCGGGCCCCCAAATTCATGAGAACCACCCGGGGGTGGCCGGGGACCCAACCAAGGTCCTTGCCTGCACCTTTAAGATCTTTTTTATCCGAGTTCAAGTAGCATGATAAGCGCACAGTCAATGAACTCTGTGTGTGAGTGGCCGTGTGTGTGTGCTGCCGTGTTTGCTGTACACAACTGCACAAAAAAAGCAAGAGTGTGCCACACTGTTCGTTGGGCTTTCAGCATCTCATCAGGAGGTTGAACCCTGAAAGTCTGCGCAGGACGTATTTGACTGATCGATAGGGAGTCAGCACATCGCCCAGAGTTAGCAATACTGCCAATACCCCTGAGAATAATGGTCGACTTTACTCACACCAACCCTACAATCCTAGAAGACTGTCGGTCCAAAATCGTAACAAGAACAGCAGTAAGTTGAAGAAAATAGTTTGTCTCATCCTAATAGTCCACTCTTTGTGTGCACAGGGTGTGTGATTGTGTAGGGCTGGTCATGTGTTGTCTGATTCTTTCAAAGTGTGAAAGACAGGACTGACTCCTGGATGGCATGTTACCAAGCCCACTGGCTGTCAAGGCTGAAAGGCCGGACAAGTTTTGCCTCTCGAGTCCCAACCATGGGGCAAATTTAGGGAGTGGTATAATTCACCAAACATTATGAGGGGAGGTCCCTTTCGATGAGAGACTTCCTCTTGGAAGCACTTGCGTTTCATGGGCAAAAGGATGATGCAAATGCACCCACTTTAAAAGGGGGTTAGCTGCAAAAGTGTTGTATCTGTCAGGATTCAAACTCGTGATGTGTCTATGGCACCTTTTTTTTCGGGATGCATGAAACACGGACCTTATGTGAAAGTTGCCCATGGACGAATCTCTCAGGAAGGGTCTCGAGAATTTTGATTCGGATAATGTCGGTCTAAGTACAGTCCAAAAGTCAGGAGCTGTATTTCAAATGGTATATGACCAGGGCTTGTGTGTGTCAGTGTGTATCCAGGCGGTTGGGGGACAGGGGTTAGTGCCATGCAGAATGGTCGGAAGCTGTAGAGTATCTGTGGCTATGATTGGTGAGGCTTGAAAGCTTGTTATGCTGTGGGTAGGATGATGCGGGCACCGTCAACTGATTGTGTGTGTACTGATGTGAACACAGGTTGCAGGAGCAGTGGGAGGGAAAGAAGACGGCAATTGTCGAGGCTGTGAAGAACGTTCTTCATGAGTCTGACCTTAGCTTGCGCAAGGCCATTGTACAGGTAGGGAGTCACCTGTTGTGGTTTGCCATGGGTTTATAACTTTATAGATGGTATGATTTCCTTCAGGGAAGCAATCTATGCAATCAGACTCCCTTCCATTCACACTTTACATGCACGCAAACAGTAGTGCAGCAAACTGGCGACATGCGCCCACTCAAAACTCAGAGATATGGCAACCCAGATACGAGTTCACTTCCAATGGCTATGGCGATGTAGCGCCCATACAACTCTCTGTGCGCATACAGTGGGTCACCCTGGATATCCCACACGCGTCTCTCTGAACACTCACACACACACACCCTGAACACTAACTACAGCTATGGCGGCTATGGCCGCCTCTACCCTATCGCTATGGCTAAGCTCCGTCTCTCTGCCCACTTCGTCTTCGGGCTCACTGCAGACCTCCTTGCACAAGTCGCTGTGGCAGCGCTTCCGCATGGCTCACGCAGGAATGAATGAATGGCTGGGCGCTGCCTCTGGATTTATACTTCTGCAGTGCGTTGGTCTGGCCCCTTCCCATGCCCCAAGTGCACACAGTCCCATGCGGTACTTGCTTGACTGTACCAGGACTGCCTAGGACTGGGACTGCTGACTCAACACGGGCAGACTCCACCACTTGCCCACTTGCCTCAGCTTAGACGTGGGAAACTTCGAAAGGCCACTGTTCGGACCTTCCGGAAGGGCGTAGACTTGGCCTTTCGACACTGTAGCAGCTGCGGCCTTGACCTCTCTAGACTGCAGCGGCTACGACATTGACTCTTCGAGAAGACTACAGCTACGACCTCTAGACCTGACTGGGACTCCTATCCGACAGGTCTACAGATCGAACCCATGCTACCTAGGGACCCTATGACAACCTACCAACTGCTACAAATACACAGGTTGTGGGTTCAACTCTACGGGTCGACACAGGTAAGGTGGGGGCTAGGGATCGAGCCCTGGGACCTGCATCAGCTACTGCGAACTGGTGAATACCGTTTCACTCCCGCCAGCCTAAATTCGAGGTCCTCCGAGAATAATTCAGTCCAAGGCAGGACCTTTACCTCTCTGATCTCTCTCGTAGGCTCTGACTATATCGGGAGCTGTTTCTAGAAGTTCTGATCTTGTGAACCAGCGGTCATCCTCCGGTTCCTGATATGCAAACCGGACCTTATACTGCTTCTGCGGACGACCTCTACCTCCTGTCCTGAACACATCTTCACCTACAATGCCATCAATGTCATATCTTCCCTCCATGTCCGGAGGGATCATGGACCGTCTAGAGGGAAACTGCGGACTTGTGACACACGGCAGCAACTTTGATGCGTGAAACACAGGGTAGGTGTGGAGGTGTGCTGGTATCTCTATTGTGTAGGATCTAAAAATATAGTTTTTTAATTGAGCCATCCATAGGTATGGAGTTCTTTTCCTAATAAGTCAACTCTAAGATAACAAACCCATAACCAATGGGCCTAGCTCAGTTGGTACACCTATGAACTGTTGAAATACGGACCCAAGTTCGAATCCATACTGTCAGATATACAGATCCCTGTGGGCGGTCAGTTCAGTGAAGATATCTCAAGGCTGTTACCCTTAAAAAAAACAAAAAAAGATAACAAAGTTAACAAACCCATATAATGAAGAATCTTAATAAGGCTCTCGTGCTGTAACATAAGGACTTGTGACCCTTCACTTAATGTAATGCGACTGTCATGGCAACCCTCTGCACTTTGTTATTGGTCGATATGTTTGACCATCGTCCTGGCGAGTGGGAGTGAATTGGGCAGAATTGAAGAGAAGATATCGGCAAAAGAGTCAGGCTGTCAGGATAGAAGATATACTGTGATGTGAAAAAGAATGAAGGGAAGAGAACGGTATTTCGGAGGCTGATTACTCCTCCAGAGTGTGGATGCCTGTGAGCCAAACTTGTGCTGAACGGGTGAAGCATGCTCTGCGGTGTCCGAAGTGGCTTTTTTCTGTGCACTGTGCACTCTATGGTGTGTCATGCAGTATGCGATCTTGCTGTGCAGTGATGTGCATAGCAGGTTGAAGTTGTCTGCATGTTGTTTAGGGGCTCCCTGCAACTTTGCTATTGCTTTCAGATGCCACAATTTTCTTAGTCTTCTTTTTGGATTTTTATTTTTCAAGTGCTGCACTCTGATCACTCTCCTGAAGCCCCTTAAGCCCCCTTACATCCACCACCCACCATGGACCCCCTTTAAACCCCGCCCTGAATCACCAGTCTCTTTCGCAGGCTATTGTGTTTCAAAGTTTTGACACAGCCGTTAACCCACCATCTTACCCGGTGCCAAACCTACCAGAAGGATAAGGCTGGCGGTGCCAGGCAAAAAGCAAATATATCACCCCCGTGTGTTTTTGTCTTTTTGTTTACATAACATGCGGCCAGGGTTGCATGGCAACCGACGGCCAACAACAATCGTCGACAGAGCTGCAGCCGAGCAATTGGCTTCACCGGTCGGCAGACTCTTTGATTGGTCGGCAGCCGACCAAGGCGGGAGAGTGGCATCAGACTGTGGATGTCTTCGGTTGCGCTGCATGAGGTGGTAGGGAATATTGAAAGAGGGCGGCTCTATTCACCGTTAAGATCTTGATTCTCTGAAGATTTCACTGTTGAAAATTACAATGTAAAGTTTGTGTGATGTTGTGGACGGCAAGGCAAAATCTTCATCAACAGCAACTAGAGCAATTTGAACCCATACAAGGTTAATAAAAAAGATCTGAAATAGTTTTACAAACAAAAAATTATCTTTGAAACAACTACAGTGGAGGAGGAGGAGGAGAAGTAGACGAAGAAAAAGGGGTCAACAAAACCCTCGCTGGTGACCCCTGGCTGGGTCAACCAGTCAGCTGGTTGGAAGCTGATCGGCTGGGGGGTCGCAGTCCATCCGCTGTGCTACTTTGTGAGCAGCAGAAATAGGGGTGGGTAAAAAGAGCATTGAGGGACTATTGGTTTAACACACACCTTCACCCACCCCGCCCCTGCCCAACTGCTCTTTTTAAATTACTTCAACCAATCCCTGTGATCACCTGTACAGCCTTCCCATTTACTTTGCCCATGCCTCATGAATTGCTTCAAACCCGGCTTAACCCCCGGCATGGTCCCCAACCCCCCTTACCTTGTTCCCCAGCGTTCCCAATCTATCCCTCTTTCATGGAAAAACAGGGGGAAACCAGAAAAAGTTTTGAAAGAAACAACAAAAAAAGCTGCCTCCTCCCTCAATATGGGGATTATGTCGGTTGCATGTGTGTGTGTGTGTGTGTGTGTGTGTGTGTGTGTGTGTAATTTGAGAAAGAGAGGGTGGTAGGAGGAGGGGGAGGGGGAACTCTGATGACAAGAGTGAATGTCTGGTTTTGAAACCTAAGAATTGCTGGCATGTACCTTTGTGCACACCCGAAAACTGTAAATTTGCGTAAAAGCAACCTCAAAAGTAAGATAGAAAAAGAAAAACAGAGAGAGAGCGAGAGAGAGAGAGAGAGAGAGAGAGAGACAACATGAATCACTGGCTGTCTTGACATTGATGAATTTCTGGCCTTCACCTTCTTTGCCTTCTTTGCACCGCGAAAACCATGGAAGCAACCTCAAAAGAAAGATAACGAAAGAATTAAAGAAAGAGGAAATGTGTGTGAGAGAGAGGGGTATGGGGGAGTGAATTGTCTAGTGGGGAGACCAGCTGGGGCAAGTGGTGGTGGTTGCCCCACCTGGCGAAAGAGACCTGTCAGTGGAGGCAGCCTCCAAAGTCTGTGCTACTGTGTAAATGACTTGGGGACGACTCAGAAAGGATTGAGGGTCACTGCTAGTTGCAGCCTGCAAAAAGTTTTTCCTCTGTGTGATTCCGGTATACGGGGAAAAGAGGCAGGTGATGCTATGACACCTGCTGTCCCTTCCTCCCCCCTCCACGTCCCCCTTCTTTCAATTTTGCTTTCCAAATTTTCATCCATGGCATGTTTTGCAGGGGTGTGTTGTGCAGTGTTCGGTGCATTTGCAGCCCATGCCTGCACCTTGTGTCCACCAAGTTTGATGTGGAAGAGGAGGATGGCACTCGTGTTGTCCTTGGGGAAAACATGAGAGAGAGGGAACAGCGAAAGGGTGACGAAATAAATATATGAGACAGTTAGTAGGGGAAAGAGAACAGACTGGGATGAAAATGAGAAATTGTGGAAGAGTAGGAGGAAGGTGAAAAGGGAGAAACAGTGAGTTGAAGCACTTTGCCTGTGAATCTATTAGTTGAACATCTTGTCTGCACAATCGTGAGATTGCTGAACCCTGAGGGTCTGACGCAGCAGCCCGATGTTTTGCTTTACAATGGGCTCTTCAGTAGAGATTCGGTCTAGTGATGGAAGTTGTGGGCCAAGTGGCCACTGTTTTTGTTTGAGCTGCCCTTGGCCTCCCTACACGCCACTTGCATATCGGCATAACCCAAGGAGACTTTCCCGCACAATCCAGGGAGGCTGTCGGGGCCGTGGTGGTAAGCACTGACACAGTTTCCCGTTAGTTTTCCCCGTGTTTTACATTATTGGCTCTGTTGATTGAGTGACCTGCAGTGAAGAAATCAAATCCAACGTGGAAGAGCTGGCTCAGCGACAGGAGGTACTAGGTAGATGTTCTGCTTCATCGATTGTCTGGTGATTACGGCTTTGCATTACGCTATTTTCATATTCACTCACATGGAGTCACACCATTCCCATTTCTTGGTGGCATCTTGACAGACTTCAAGTCAATGACCTGTGGTAAACTGGTGTGCAGGCAAATGGGCACTCCTGAGGATTTTCTTTGGGCCCCAGTACCTGTCTCAACACCAATCAGGATTTGGGCATTTGACTGTTCACATCCCAGTGCTCATTTCTTTTTGGCTATATAGGGTGATGGTGGACGAAGTGCTATTTCTGGTTTTGTGTGGGACTGTGGATGTTGATGGAATCAACAATGAGCGTGCGACTGGGTGGGATTTTTCATGGATTTGACAAGTCTGTAGTTCGTTCTCAGATGTTCTTTTTTGTGTGTGTGTGGTTGGTGCTCTTATCAGCTGATTGTATCGATGGCATCTGCGGGATATTTGACAAAAGAGAATGGAGAACCCTTTATCGAGTTTCTTGTTCGACAGTGTGCAATCTCAGATACAGAGGTAGAGCAGTTCAAACAGCGGCAGAGCACAGATGAAAAAGCAGGAGTGGTGAGATCAAGTGGCTTACTTAAAAGTGATGTAAGTCTGCCGTCTCTTCAGCATATGCACACAACTTCGCATTTCTCATTTGCCTCTTTTTTTATTGTGTTTGTTCGTTTGTTGAACATAGTCCGTTTTCTTTGTTTGTGCTTCTATGACGCTGTTGTATCTGCACCTGTTTCCTGTTTCGCCCTTTGTGTTTGTTCCCATGTGTCTCTCCTGATTACTATACTTGGCCTGCGTGCATTGTAAATAGACGTGGCCATTACGGCACCATTGTTCATACCTCTGACCACTGGGAACTGTGGGACAACGGCACCAAGATCCATGCCGTGATTGGGCGGCGGCTTTAATGCAACACTCGTGTTCTCTTACCTCAGTGCACCCGCTGCAGACTCTTCTATGTTGGGGATCACTTCTCCGCCCCTGTGGTGCGGAAGGGTGGCGTGCAAAAGCTCTGTGACCTTCTCCTCAGCACAGCTACAGACGCCGCAAAAGCTCTGTGACCTTCTCCTCAGCACAGCTACAGACACTTTTACACTCCGCTGCAAGTGTTATCGTCTTTGATGCAATTTTACAGAGCCAGGGGTTCTGCGTCCGTGTGTGTGAAGGGCTGCCCTTCCTTGCCTGATGGTGTGCACCCTTTGCATCCGAAGATCAAGGCACAAGATTATAAATGTATGGTCTTACCAACGGGCCTAGCTCAGTTGGTACACCCATGTACTGTTGAAATACAGACCCAAGTTCGAATACATATGCAATCAGATGCACGGATTAAAAATAATTCTGAATTACCTGGGGCTGGTCAGTTCAATGATACCTCGAGGCCATCATCCTTTTTTTTTTTTAATGTATGGTCTTCTTTGATGGCCCTTCTTCCCCCTAGCTTGCAATTGACATGCCATTTGTTGGGAGTGTTTGGTGGTGGGCATGGTTGATGCCCGCCATCATGGCAACCGTTGTGCTGGGCACGGTTGATGCCAGCCATCATGGCAACTGTTGTGCTAAGATCTTCCCTGTTATCACCCACCTCATCTTTACTGTTCGTATCCTCTCTTGCAATCCCCTATGCTCCCAGCTTTATTCCTCACCTCTTACATCCCCTGTGTCTTCCATTGATCTATCGTTCTTTGCATATGTCCTGTCTCTTTTTATCTCATGGTAACCGCGGCCAGGATACCAGACCGATCCAGACAGAAAACCAGACGTCCGGAAATTCGGACAGGTACCAGGCATCCAGACAGTACCGGACCCCGACTGTCGAGGTGGGTTCCTGGCAGTGCTGGCACCCAAAAAATGCCTGGATCTGGATTGGGAAAGAAAAGGACATACAGAAATCCATGGCTACCATGTGGACATCCGGATGCGCATCCAGACGGTCTGGGGTCCGGTGTCTGGATGCCGGACCGTAGGAGGCCCGTCCGGAGGGGGCCAAAAGCCGCCAACCCCCCCCCCCCAAAAAAAAAAAGAAGGGAGGCACCCTGGACCTGTTCCTCGGGTCCATGGCACCCCTGAAAAAATGTTTCGTGGATTTTTGGGGCCGGTATTCGTTGCACAGGGCGGCCGGAGCAGCCCCTTTCTTACTTCCCGCTCTCACTGTGCAGAGTCATGCAGACCGTTGGCGGGTCCAGGCAAACTTCGTAATTTGCCGCCCACCCCGCCGTCTGCCCTTCCATTCGCTATCGGCCGACACACACGCACACCCACACCCACACACACAGAGAAAGCAAGGGTGGTACGGGCGGGCGTTAGCGAGCACGCACACACACGGAGAGAAAGAGAGCCGTCATGACTTGCCACGCTTCATCAGCTGTGAGTGGCGCGCAGCAAGGGTGGTACTGGCACGCGTTAGCGGGCGGGGGGGGGGGGGGGGGGGAGAGAGAGAGAGAGAGAGAGAGAGAGAGAGAGTCGCCACCAGGTTGTCACAGTGGGCACGTGTGCACACGCGCACGCGCGTGCGTAAGAGAGAGAGAGAGAGAGAGACTTCCTTTTAACATAATGGTTCCATTCGGTGTTTCGGGCGTCGCTCCCCTGCTTCAGCTAGAAATGGAAAGATGCATTGCCATATCTTTGATTTTCATTCCATAGCGGAGAGTTGTGGTTCGGAACAACAAGAGTGGGGAGGCTGGAAACAAGGGAAGGTTTGGAACGACGAGAGGGCGGAGGTTCGGAACAAGGGGAGGTTCGTAACAGCGAGACGGGGGAGGTTCAGAACAAGGGGAGGTTCTTAACAGCGAGAGGGGGGAGGTTCAGAACAAGGGGAGGGAGGTTCGGAACGGGAAGAAGGATTAGGGTTTGAACTTCAAATCTTTTCTATTCCGTTGTGATTTTGTGAATGAAGATTGGTGGGTTCGTTTTGGATCTTTATGATTCATTTGCAAAGTCTTGACAACATCATGGACGTCTTCACGTTCGGATGTTTGAAATCTTCGGAATATGGGAGGGAGGTTCGGAAGAAGGGGTAAGGAGGTTCGGAAGAAGGGGTAAGGAGGATCGGAAAAAGAAGGGTAGGGAGGTTTGGAAGGAGAGAGGTCCGAAAGAGAATCATGGTTCGTTTTCGAAACTTTTCATTCGTTTGCAAACTTTTTATAAGAGTATGTAGTTGTTCACCTTTGGAACTTCAATTCCTTCGGAACTTCGGATTCGTTCATTCCTTCGCTTTCAAAATCTTGGTTCATTTTACGTTCATTTCTTTGGAATCGTGGTTCGTTTTCGTACATTTGCAAAGTTTTGAGCACATTCTGTACGTCTTTAGGTTTGCATGTTTGTATTATTCGGAACGTGGAGGAGGTACGTTCAGAAGAAGCATATATGGGAGGTTGGGAAGAAGGGGAAGGGAAGGTCGGGAAGAAGGGGGAGGGAGATTTGGAACATGGTGGAGGGGGGATCGTCAACAAGGGGGAGGGAGGTTCAGAAGAAGCAGGAGGGAGGTTCCGAGTATAAATAATTTATATAGTATATATATATAGAGAGAGATACTTTGTTTGATTGTTTTTATTAATTCTAGTTTGTAGAACATATTGAATGTTTTTTCTACTTTTCTATTTTGTTTTTTTTATTACATGAAGATGAAAATATTCATTTTACATAATGTATATTTAGTTACATGGTACTTATTCTGATATTAAATTCAACTCTAATCTTTATCATGAATATATGATAAAGATTAGAGTTGAATTTAATATCAGAATAAGTACCCACCTACTACATAAATATAAAGATGTATTGCTTTATTTATAATACTTTATTTTTTCTAAGTAATTTATCAATTACTCTACATTCTAAGTAGAAGTTAATTGTGGCTTATAAATAGTAATATGAGGTGATAATGGTCGATTGATTTTCATGTCAATTTACTCTGGTTTTGACTCAAGGTGACAGGATTCGAACCTATGACCCTCTGTACCCAAAACAAATGCGCTACCAGACTGCGCTACACCTTGTTATGTTCAATTGGTAATTCAACTAGCTGACTAACTAAGATTGGATTGACTGGAACTGGTAAACTCATTGTTGTAGGTTCAAATCCTACATTCCAGAAATTAATCTTTCTCTAGCTAGCGAGCCTACGGCCTTTGCTTTTTTTCGAGTATATTAGATTGCTTTGGCTTTGAGAGATCGATCATCAAAAGCTCCGTAAAAAATAAAAGAGAATTCATAATGGCTTTTAGTCCACTAGAACAATTTGCTATTATTCCATTGATTCCTTTTCATATAGGAAACTTGTATCTTTCTTTTACTAATTCATCTTTGTTTATGCTACTCACTATTAGTTTAGTTTTGCTTTTATTTCATTTTCTCACCATGAATGGAGGTCATTTAGTACCCAATGCTTGGCAATATTTTATTGAAATGATTTATGACTTCGTTCTAAACTTAGTCAATGAACAAATAAGTGGTGTACCATCAGTTAAACAACGATTTTTTCCTTTCATCTTTGTCACTTCTATTTATAGATAGCTTTATATTTCAACTATTAAATCCTATTGCACTTCTTGAGTCTATTTGTCATAGAATAATAACTCCGATCTTATTTCGTTATAGTAGTCATTTAAGTTTTGCAATTAGTCTGGTTATTGGATTGATAATAAGTAAATTTTTTTCGTGCAACTTACTAGAAATTTAAGAAATCGTATTCAATATGATGCTTCAAAAACTTATCAACTTATAGTCCCTTCTTTAAATAATATTTTTATCAATTTTGTATGGAGTCTAATTTTTCTTAGTCTCTCTAGATTCACATGGGGCTCCTATCAAGATGCATTTATAAAAAAAGATCGCTCTAATCCACTGAGCTACATGCCCCATGACATTTCGATCCATGGGGAGTTAAAAAGACCTAATGACTATTTTTTTTTTTATAATAAAGATGAAAGAAGTGATCCTRGCATCGAGTTATTTTCCCATAGAGCTTCCTCTACAGTATTGCCACCGTGGTAGAGTTTCACCACCAAGTTCGGGATGGATTGGTGTGGTTCCACTACGCCTTATTAGTTTTACAATCAATTTTCCGCACTACTATATGTTGAGCAACGTCTACTAATCTTTTAGTAAGGTATCCTGAATCCGAAGTTGTTATCGCACTATCTACAACACCTTTTACTTTCTTAATTGGCACTCTTTCTCTTTGTGGAGTTCCTCCTTTTGCTTGTTTTTGGTCAAAAGATGAGCTAATGGTAAACTAATTTTATACATAGAAATAAAGGATATTAGACTAGCAGGAATAGGGAAATTCCAACCTCCGAAGTAGAGCACTACAGCAAATAAGGATGAGACTAATAAGTTTAAGTATGAAGCAATATAAAAGATTTCGAATTTTATACCAGAATATTCAGTCTGATAACCTGCTACTAATTCTTCTTCAACTTCTGGCAAATCAAATGGTAATCTTTCACATTCTGCAAAGGATGCTATAAAAAAAAGTAACAATTCAGAAACAACGATCCCGTCGTCGATTGCCACCTATTAAGTCAGGAGAAAAAATAAATTATAAAAATCTAGATTTACTTCGTCGATTTTATAATAGAGCACTACAACAA